GTCTATTTGGCTAAATGTTACAATAATGGTTTTAATTTGTGCACAACTTCCAATTGCAATACAATAATTTTCTATCTGTTTATGATGTGCAGTAAAACATACTCTGAATACTGAATCATGTGAGGTAAAATTCATGCTTATTTCATACAAACCAGTGCTGCAGACCAGGTTCAGGAGTGTACCCTGTGATTGAGTTTCCTCTGACAACCTGGGATTTACTTCATTCTACACATTGTCTCCTAGTGAGACCTGAGATTGCAAAATACCTTGTTACTTGCTGGATACATTAAAAAATGTCTCTACAGAGCAATGTTGGGTATTTAATTAAATGTTCACTTCTGAAATAGCTAACAGTAACCATGTGTTTCAACTCTCAGGTTGGCTACTGTGGCATCTCCAACTACCAATACAGATGTTGGTCTCGCTGGGTTCCTCGGCTGGTTCTGTTGGTGTGTAACCCAGTTCGCATTCACAGGTATGAGCTCCAGGTGTGTTGGTGCAGACAGAATCAGGACCACAGACAGTTGAGTTGAAACACTCATCAATATCTGAGGAAGGGACAGTTACTGTAAGTGACAATCTTAAATCTTAAAACGAAAATTGGCACGGTATCATCTCAGGTTTTGACTAGGCTAAAAGGATACAGTACAATATATTTGCCTGTACACTCTTAAATTCCTACTTTTACATAAACAAATACCCAAAATCCAGCCTCTCTTCCAAGCTAGACCCTGTGTTACTATAACTAAATGCCGTTTTCTGTACAGCTGAAACATGTTTCTTCTATTTCTTTCTAAACTAAATGTATATATTCTTCTGTTATAGATTACACTCTTTAAAATCCTTGTTCTAGTCAAAAAGATAACATTATCATTTTAGGAATATCAAACGTATTATGTGCCATGAGTTTTGGCCATTGGCATACTATCAAATCGTACAATTGTTGAAGTCTCCCAATTTGTGTGTGTATGACTGGCCTTGCCATTTATTTGCCCATGGTTTGCCCATGCATGTTGATGCTCCAACAGTTTTTAATGTATTTTAATATTATTTATCTTTAGTAGCCTTCAATGGATCGTTAATACCTCAAGGTTACTATATACTTTTTGACAACCAAATAGTTAATTGTGGATTATCCCTTGCCTACTGCATATTAAACTTGTATAATATATTGTAGAAGAGCATAACATAGCATAGCATAGCATAGCATAGCACAGCATAATACAGTACAGTTACAGTACCTTGGCAAACAGGGGTTGCATCCGGTACAACCTGGTAGCCTGTATGACATTTACATGCATAACTTCCTGGGTTGTTGAGACAGGTCCCATGATCACCACAGATATTGTCAAGACATTCATCAATATCTATAGAGAGCAAATGACAACAGACTCATATAAACCTTTGAACAAATTCTGCAACCTGGAAAAATGTGACATAATTGCATCAAAATGATGAATGAATAGATTTTTTAATGGTACCTATGCATGGGTTGGACTTTCCAGGTGCTAACACTGGATCTGTTGCATTGAATCCATCCAAACAAGTACAGAAGTACGCTCCAATGGTGTTATTACAAGTGGAGTAAGAACCACAAATCCCTGCTGTCGTCTGGCACTCATCAATGTCTGACAAGATATAATACAGTCAAGATTTTAAAAAAGGTACAGTATAACCAAATTGCATACTTTTAGACCAATAAGGCCTCTTGTACATGCTGCTTGGAAGTCATTGTCTTGTATTAAAGGTTTGTAGCATTGACCTTTATCACTGGACACACTGCATAATCATTTTCTCAATAATGTCCCCACTGTGATATTGCCGCAAATAATTTCATCAGGTTTTAACATAATCTGTGGATATGTTTCTACTATAATTACTTAGTGACTATTCACACATTGCTAACTGTTTAGATGAGATAAAACGTACTTACCAATGCAACCATATGAATCTGGAGTGGGTATGTGTGTAGGGGGGATTTCATAACCAGGAAGACAGGTACAGCCTCCTTCAGTTGAACACTCAGCAAGTGGTCCACAGGAGTCTGGCTTACAATCATAATGATCTAAACAGAGATAAAATTATAATAATAATACAAATTTAAATTATAATTAAAAAAATAAATAAAAATGTTATCATATAATATGTTGAAAGAAAAAAATACTACAAGTTGTGCAATCCTACCTCATGTTTAACAACTCTTTATCATGTATAAAAAACAAATTAGATACAAATGACGTTTGCATATGAAGGCATCATGCTTATTTTATAATATTTAGTTAAACCAAGCTTTATATGTTGATTAGGAAAAAGTAGGATTTTAACAAACAGTCACTACTCACAAGTCACGTATCCTGTGTTAGACAGTGGGTGAGTTAATGGTTGATACACATAGAATCCTCCAGGACAGAGTGCCACATTCACTTTTAAACCAAAGCCTCGACAACCACTATAATAACCATATGCAGTTCCTGTAGTTGGGGTCACAGACTCAGTAGTTGGATAAGCAAATGGAATAAAAACAGTGTGCCATGTGCCACCACGGTTGATTGATACACAGCCTGTAATAACTCTGTCTCCACCGATGCCTGTGAAGCGCCACCAACTGTTCAGCAGCTTCGCATCATTTTTAGGAAAGCCAGGGAAGGTAGTAGATGTAAAGTCTCGGTTGCGCCATGGTTCAGTTATGTTGGTGTATCCATCACAAGAACCTGCAAGAAGTCAAACAGTTACAATAACCATGCCTTTATGGTTGTGTTAGTTTAAGTGTTAGCTTTTTGTTTTTCTCAAGTTAACATCATTCTTACCAGGAGGAAAATCACTAGTTACAGGAATGATGAGTAAACCTAAAACCAATAGAGACAATGTAAAGTTATTGAAAATAAGAATCAATGCCCTGAAAGCAACTATATTTATAATATGACCTTTTATATTTTGACAGTCAGATTATGTTCTTCATCCTCTTAAAATGTCAACCAAATGTCGACTTTTTAAAAATGGTTTAAATCAAGTCTAATATATCATATCATATCCTCTATATTTACAGATTCTAGTGTTTTGCCTAAAGAACTTTGTAAACGCAAAAACATAGATCAACACTTATTATCAATTTTTAAATTATATTGTGAATTCATTTCATGGGTGCTAGTCTAATAAACTACTTAATCATACACATAATAATCCATAATCACTAATTTATATGAAAAGATGAATTCACTCACCCAGGAGAAGGGCCAAGACACAGTAGTTCATTGTGACGGATCCAAAGTCAAATCTTCTGATCTGTTCTGACTATTCAACGTCTACATTCTGAAATTTGCACAGCACCCAAAATATGTTTTTTCTTTCAGGTACACATGCAAAGAAATGCAATGCAAATCCACTTCAAGGAAGGAAATGATGTAGTCACCAAGCACTTTGATGTAAGATGTGTGCAGAACTTCAATTATGGTGAGTTTAATAAACCAATACTTCAACGCTGTCCATATGTTCTGTTGCGTCATTTGTGTTGAATGTTTTTGCACAGACAGACAGAACATGTCACTTAGTTTGGTTTCCTGGCCTGTTTGGTTTTTGTGATTGTAGAACTTTCAAATATAACTTCATGTCAACCAATTGTAGCAATCCACAGACTGCAGGGAGATAACACGCAAGGGAAGGGACAGTCAACGACAGAAAGCCCCCTCACTTTATCCCTGGGCCTGGCCAGGGTAGCAAAAGAACATAGACTGTAATAACGATCAATGAAAGTATACAGAGGTAAGTTTGCTGTTGATAACTCACAAACATTTAAATAAAAGATGAATGAAAATAAAAAATGTCTCTTTGTACTAAATTAGTCTTTAGCTCTGTCTGTGTTCTGTGATCATGTTCAATATCTAAATTGTCATTCCTCTGTCTGTAGTTCTTTTAATGTCTGTGACTGTTCCTGTCACAGTTTTTTGGGATAGAGCACATCCTCTGGGGATGTGTGTAGCAGCCCTGGCAACTGGCACCATCCTATCACAAAGTGGCAAATTCGATGAGTCTCTTTTAATGCTACTCATTAGGACCCAGTTCAGATGAGAAAGGATGAAATTCAGGGCAGGGAAGTTGCAGTGGCTGTGGTCAAGTGGACACTGTGGATACATTAACCGTAATGCAGAGGTGATTGGTATGTTACAGTCATTTTGATGGCTGCCCACTCTGTCATCTAGTTTAAAACAGGTGAAAACACACGAATAATACAAAGAATTAAGGACAGTTTTTTTTTTATTAATAAAAGCAGGAATTAGCCGACATAAGTAATTCATTATAAATATTTTCACAGAATTAGAGAGTTAAAACGATTGATCTGTATCTATTGAATTAAAGGGTTCTCTTACGAATCTTCTTTATTCTGATAACAGCAACAGATTGTTGGAGTATTTCAGTTATGTTATTAATTATTAAGAACAATTTCTCCAAAATACACAATAGTTAAGTGCAGCATTTTTTAATATTACTGTCAGGTCTCCTTAGCATTTTTGCCTTCAATTCAAGTCCTACAGTATTTTCTATTAAATATAATGGTTAACTTTTGGGACAAACAGTAATCGATATGGGACAACTACTTATTCAGGTTTTTAGGACATCTGCTCACCCTACCACTCATCCATTTTCTTTGCTCCAGTCTCTCTCAAACAAGCACATCTCCTTTCTGTCTGACACATACACCTGATCAAACAGGCGAGATTTTATCATGGTGATCCCGCTCTGCCTTTTAATAATGCACATTTATCACAGCAGCAAACCACATACTCAGCTACGGAGAAGGTGCACACAAAGCTGATTTTATGTGATAACGTGAACACCTTGAGTTTTATCATTGTTCAATCATAAACATCTGAAATTTTTTCAACTTATCTATATACAATATACAACAGATCTATAGGTTTAAATATAAGATACCCTACTTATCCTAAATGGGAAAAGATGGGTGTCAAAACACAGTGTATATTTTAATAAACCACTGGGAAATCTCTGAGACAATAGAAGTTTATTATGGCCTCAAAACAATAAAAACCACAATAGACAAAGCACACAATATATACAAATGAGTTCACAAGAATACTGTGTATGTCATGCAAGAGCCATCTTAACAGCATAATGGGGACTGATTCATAGTGGTCCCGGAAAAATGTTGTTTATTAGTGCGCTCTCCCGCACTTTTGTCTTGAAACTTGCTCACAAGATAGAGTTAAAAACAGTGGTTGTTTCACTTGCTGTTGTAATAGAAAGTCAGAAAAGCTAAGTACTTACGCACAGTGGAAGTTTCTGCATAATGAAATAAGTAGTATATATAACTAAACTGAAAAAAAACTGTAGTGAACAAGGAAATGCAATAATGACTTCATGTTTATTTCAGATATTTTTTATACCATACCAGAAAATGACACAATGAATAATATTGGAAATAGCTTAAGTATACACACTTATACTTATACATATATATTTGATCACCTATCTTCCCTAACCACGAATACAATGGCAACAATAAAATATTATGTAAAGACAAAAGGCTGTATTTCTCCTCTCTGTCATCATTTCATCAGCATTAGCCTGTCCGTTCTTCAGCCTTGTCCATGTCCTCGGAGATTGATGGCGCATCTTTCTGTTGAAATACATAATACATAATACACAAATCATGATTCCAGCAACACATTTGAAAGAAAGTTTTCTACAGATCGGTAAAGCAAAATACTTTTGAGTAGTGCCTTGTATACAACCTGCAACCTTGATAGCTTAATAGCATAATAGCAATATGAAGACTAAAAAGACACCTCAGAAAGAAAGACCGGCTAAAATAATTCTACACATTTCACAATTATTGAAGTGGTTCCTGATATAATTTATTGTTGTTTTAATATTGAAACTCACCACAGATCCTCCTTCTCTGTGCTTTTTGAAAGAACAAGTCAGCCATTTCACGTATTCCTCTCGAACCTAGAAGATACAATGTAACACCTTGTTAAAGGACAATTCCGGCGCAAAATGAACCTGGGGTTAATAACACATGTGTACCGAGTTGGTCCGCTCTCTGGGATATGTTTTCATGCTAATCGACCCGTGACCGGTTTTAGCACAAAGCGCTAATTAGCTTATAACGCTAGTCAACGGGGCACAGAGTAACGTGAAAAGAAATCGCTTTTTATACCACCAACAAGGCTCAAAATTGCACCACACTTACACGGTAGCATAATGAGGGCCCCTACGTATAAACCGAAGCATTGAGAACTTTGTAAGTGTACAGACAGTTTATTAAAAAGATAGTTTAGAACAACAGTAGTGTTCGCGTCTACAGGCGGGCGCTATCTTGGGAAAACAGTCAGGGGTTAGGTCATTCATGCAGATCAATGATCAAGATTTACAGCTGGAGCTTCCGCAGCTCTTCGTCTGTGCTTTCTTCCGGCAACAACGTTTCATGCGAGATTCACTTCACATCTCCGTGGAAACGTTGTTGCCAGAAGAAAGCACTGAGCGCAACAGAGACTAGTGCTTCCACAGGATACACACTAAAGAGATGGCGGATTATTCAACCGAATTTGAAGACATCGACAACGAACCCTTTCAGTTTGATGGACGTCCTTATCTTTTCGAGCCGGAATATACAGACGAATACCTGCGAAACTTCCATGAAAGGGCTACGAGAGAGAGAGAGAGAGAGAGAGAGAGAGAGAGAGAGAGAGCTACCGGTAGTCAATGCCACAACACAGCCTCTTACTTTGGGAAACTGGTGGTGTACCTGCGGACATTGTGAAGCTATATGGCCACCGAAGAGGAGTGCCTTTGTTGCATGGAGTGGGACCTGTTGCGTTGCGACACCCAAGAGACGCAGTGTTTTGTACATTCTGAAGATTTCCCCTCTCTGATAAACAGAGCTGTACTTGAAACTTTTTTTCATGTCCCGAAAATAAATTGGAGGCAGCGACTCATACCAGAGGGACCAGATGGACAGTTATCCACTGAGTAAGTACACTAGACAAGTTGTGTTTTACATCGGTGCGATTATTTCTGATATATTGAGCAAATTACCTTTGTTTTAGTTCACATCGCCAGCTGTAAATCTTGATCATTGATCTGCATGAATGACCTAACCCCTGACTGTTTTCCCAAGATGGCGCCCGCCTGTATACGTGAACGCTACTGTTGTTCTAAACCATCTTTTTAATAAACTGTCTGTACACTTACAAAGTTCTCAATGCTTCGGTTTATACGTGGGGGCCCTCATTATGCTACTGTGTAAGTGTGGTGCAATTTTGAGTCTTGTTAGTGGTATAAAAAGCGATTTCTTTTCACATTACTCTGTGCCCTGTTGACTAGCGTTATAAGCTAATTAGCGCTTTGTGCTTTGCGCCAGAATTGTCCTTTAAGAGTAATGTCTTTATGTGACCAAAAGAAAGAGGGCACATTAACAAGTCAACTGCAAAAATAGTTTACCTCCTTATTGAGCACACAGTGGACGATGAAGAGGAAGGTGCCCTGCTGGGAGTTAAGAATTATAAACAGGACTTGAAAGAACAGATTCGACTGGTACAGGCCCAGAATCCAGGTACAGCCCAGTATGACAAACTGTGCCACAATCTTGAACACAATCAACCTGCAAAAAATGAGGATTTGTAGTGTTTTTGTCTTGATAATGAATAACTATTTAAACAAAAATGGCTGCTTTCTACCGTATTATTGTATAACACTAAATTTTAAACATTTCAAGACAATCACAACACTCCTGGCTCATACCTGGTGTCTTTGGATTGAGAAACGTCACTTTTCATGTTGGCCAAGGTGGGTCTCAGACTCCAGAGAGTTGCACAGAACAAAGTCCAATTAAGCTTCAAGTTTAAAAAAAACACACAGAGGAGTCTATAGACCATTTTACAGCTGGAAGGCAGAAAGTGCACTGTATTGTGATGTTCCCATTTTCTACTTTAAAGACAAATAAGTGAAAGCATTTTTGTTGTTGATTTTTCACTAGAGGTCATGATAATGAATTGGAAACTGTAAGACAGGTTAGTGTTTCACTGGAGATCAGAGTGGTTTTGAGAGACTCATGAAGACTGGTTTATGGTAGTTTATTGTTGTTTATGTTACAGTGCATTTTATTAATTGTAATCCTGCTAATAATCCCTGTTTCTACTTATTGTAACTGTAATGTGATTTCATCTCTTTTTCTGTAACTGGAATGGAATGCAGTGACCTTTTTCTTAAAGACAGACATCTTGTATCATAATACTTTTTCAAAAGTTTGACTTAAAAGTGCATTTTGACTTGTTTTTTGATGAGCTTGAACTTGATCCAATGTAACGTCAAACAATACACCAAGCTGAGCTGATTGTATTTTCAACAAAATACAAGGGATGAAATTGCGAATATCCAATATACTCACTCCAAGGACAGCAATCACAGGGCCTGTTAAAGCCCAGTTGAAATTGCGCTGTCTAGAGAGCCAGCACCTGCAACACAATCAAACAAACAAACAAACAATCATTTTACCCTAGATGCACATCAGATATACAGTAGAAAATGAATGAGTTCATGTATTACTGTTTGTCTTACTTACACATCTCCGTCAGTAGCACCATATCCATCAGAATAAACCAAAGCAGAAGTACCCACAATCACAAATGGAACGCCGTAGCCAATCAGGTAGAGAAGTGGCCTGGGGAGGCCATCTCTCTGGATGACCTGCACCTTGGAGAGCCTTCGGACCAACAGGTAGAGCTGTAGCGCCTCCAGCAGCATCCACACAAAACTTGCAACAACTAAGAAGTGGAGAAGACCCGCCATGACGGTGCAGGCCAGCTGTGTAGACACATAAGAAGAGTTTTGACAGCAATAAAATGCTTCTGGAAACACCCTTAGCAAATAATCTTCAGCTGGCTTACATTTAATGTATGTGTGACAACTCCTAACAAGTATTTTTGAAAGCAAAACTAAAATCTACACTGTAGTCTTACTGTACCTCTTGTTCAACATATTTGTCATTCCACAGCAGCAGTAGATGAGATAAGGAGAGGCTGAGGCACAGGTGAAGACGGGCTGTGTTGTTGATCTTGGGGTTCCAGCTACACAGGAGGAAGGTGAGGATGGCCAAACCAAAGAAGAATAGTCCGACTATCACACATATTCGGTTCAGCCACTCTAGGAATGGATCCTCTGGTGGAGGCTGAGAAGACAGAAAGGAACATGCATATATTCAGATAAACCTGATCTTGTTTCTGCAAGTTTGTCTTCATCTAGGAGATTTTAAGGCAAACATATGTCTAAGTGCATAATTGCAGGCTATCCTACCATAGTTCCAATTATCAAATCATGTGACAAACAAATATCTGCAAATATGTGAATATGTGCCTGATGTAACTTCTCTTGAAAATAGGTTAGGATTTTAAAAGTACTCTACTGTGGCCCTAACCTGAACAATACACTTTTACCATAGATATCTGATATACCTCCCCAATCTGCATGATGAGGGCAAAGGTCGAAAGGTGGGAGCAGCTGCACACTGTGTAGTTTTCATCAGAGTATGCAACCCAACAACCTTCTACTGACCAACGCATTGTCTCTCCCTCATTTCCTTCCTCATCCTCTTGTCCATGTTCTTTGTTCTTGCTTTTGTCTTCCCAGTACACACAAGAAACTATTCCAGATGCAGGAACTTTCTGAGAAACCAAGAGAAACAAAGATTTTATACGTTGCAATTTATTTTTGGGATGGATGGATGGATGGATTTTGGTTGATTATAGACCTTCTTATGCTGAATGGTAAAGTTGACAGGCTCAGTGAGGTTGGTCGTGTTTATTGCCGGTAAGACCGCAGTAAAAACATCAGAGTTCATCTCTGTCTTGTTCTCTGTTTGAAAGTATTGATGACTGAGAAGACTCTCCATCCCATTCAGTGTCATAAAGCCCACTGCTGCAGAACCTGGAAGTGTCCACATGGTACAAGAAATAAACAGACATCTATAAATGTTATTTTTGTTGACGATGACAGTCTTCATGTTCTTTATAATTAACTTTCTCTCACCATTGTTTGCACTGGCTAGAGCCCGCAAGTTAATTTCCATAGTCTGTCCTTTGGCAGAAAGGGGGAAAATGTTCTCATCATGACTCCCTGGACCAATGGCTTGTAGACTCAAATCTTGCACATGGATGAAAATTACAACAGGTATAGTTGATATTCACTGGAAAATCATGTGCAGTCCAACTAAACCAAAAGGAACTTCTCTTACCCACTGTTGAAGTCTGAATGGCTTTTTTGGTTTGGTTCTGAGTTGGTGGCACCATCGCATTAACTAAAAGGTCTGAGATGCCCAGGATCACACTGCCAGTCTCCCCGTCTCCTTCACTACTCACCTTTGTTGACCTGCCCAGTTGTCCAACACCTGACACTTCCTGCAAGAATGTAAGTTGGTGCAATGATTACATAAACAGGTAGGCAGACATATGAATAAAATATAATATTAAGCTCTATTTTTGTTAGATGTTACCATAGATGAAGAAAAGCAGTTTGCCACTGTCTGCAAAGACACCAAGAGGTAAAAGCATTAGACAGACTTAAATTAAGAGGTACGTTTAAATTAACCACAGTATCAATGAATATCAATAAATAATACTCTCAGTGATAAAGTATTATTTATTACTATTAATTATTACTGAGAACAAGCCATCATTTTCAACACAAGAGTGTTTTCTACCTACCGCTTCTTGTAAGACAACACCTATGTTGTTCTTCAGTTCTTGATCCATATTACTAAGGAAAGCTCTCTCTTTTGTCTGACCCTGCAATAAAAGGGTTTATTGAGTACTAGTTTACTCTACTACACTGTAACTACACTGTTGTACATCATTTTAATGCATAACATTGTTAACACATTTTTAACATTTAAATAAAAAATCTGAGCTCACCTCTGGTGGTACTATTTCATCTAGAATATCCTGAAGACCTGTCAGTAATTTAGAAAATATTGCATATGAACATCTTTACATTTTGCCAAATTTGAATCATCTTTAAACTTGACTTTGCTCACTTTTACAAAATGAGACCCCTAACGTCCACACAACTCCAGTTGAAGGGTAGAATCCATCAGGACAAGAACAATAGAAGGTCCCTGGTACATTAGTACAAACAGTTTGTTTACCACATAAACCAGGTGTCTCACTGCACTCATCTATATCTGTTAAGGGAGAAAACACACAGGGCCATCTGTTTATAGAGCTCACTGGATCTATATACTGTATGAAAAACACAATGTATGTCACAAAAATACTGAAGAAAAGCACAAACCTGTGCATGGGTTAGCAACACTGGCTATCATATCTGGGTTGTTCAGCCGAAAACCAGGAAAACAGGTGCAAATGTAAAATCCAATGGAATTTGTGCAATTGGAATTAGGTCCACAGACAGTAGCATCTTTGACACACTCATCAACATCTGTAAATGTATATAAATGCATTTTACACAAAAGAACCATATACACTTTTTGTAGATGTCACAAAAGCATTGCCAAAATGCCAAATTGAAGAATGAGGATGACGTTCTTAATAAATTGCAAGCGTAGGTAGAAGGCTGAAGATGAAACAATGGGTTGAAGCTGTGCTGACATTCATTTTGGAGAATGTATTGTACTAAGTCTACAAGTGAAAGCTAAATATTATAACATACCAGTATTAAACATGGCAAATCACTGTCTATTTGGCTAAATGTTACAATAATGGTTTTAATTTGTGCACAACTTCCAATTGCAATACAATAATTTTCTATCTGTTTATGATGTGCAGTAAAACATACTCTGAATACTGAATCATGTGAGGTAAAATTCATGCTTATTTCATACAAACCAGTGCTGCAGACCAGGTTCAGGAGTGTACCCTGTGATTGAGTTTCCTCTGACAACCTGGGATTTACTTCATTCTACACATTGTCTCCTAGTGAGACCTGAGATTGCAAAATACCTTGTTACTTGCTGGATACATTAAAAAATGTCTTTACAGACCAATGTTGGGTATTTAATTAAATGTTCACTTCTGAAATAGCTAACAGTAACCATGTGTTTCAACTCTCAGGTTGGCTACTGTGGCATCTCCAACTACCAATACAGATGTTGGTCTCGCTGGGTTCCTCGGCTGGTTCTGTTGGTGTGTAACCCAGTTCGCATTCACAGGTATGAGCTCCAGGTGTGTTGGTGCAGACAGAATCAGGACCACAGACAGTTGAGTTGAAACACTCATCAATATCTGAGGAAGGGACAGTTACTGTAAGTGACAATCTTAAATCTTAAAACGAAAATTGGCACGGTATCATCTCAGGTTTTGACTAGGCTAAAAGGATACAGTACTAATACATTTGCCTGTACGCTCTTAAATTCCTACTTTTACATAAACAAATACCCAAAATCCAGCCTCTCTTCCAAGCTAGACCCTGTGTTACTATAACTAAATGCCGTTTTCTGTACAGCTGAAACATGTTTCTACTGTTTCTTTCTAAACTAATGTATATATTCTTCTGTTATAGATTACACTCTTCAAAATCCTTGTTCTAGTCAAAAAGATAACATTATCATTTTAGGAATATCAAACGTATCATGTGCCATGAGTTTTGGCCATTGGCACACTATCAAATCATACAATTGTTGAAGTCTCCCAATTTGTGTGTGTATGACTGGCCTTGCCATTTATTTGCCCATGGTTTGCCCATGCATGTTGATGCTCCAACAGTTTTTAATGTATTTTAATATTATTTATCTTTAGTAGCCTTCAATGGATTGTTAATACCTCAAGGTTACTATGTACTTTTTGACAACCAAACAGTTAATTGTGGATTATCCCTTGCTTACTGCATATTAAACTTGTATAATATATTGTAGAAGAGCATAACATAGCATAGCATAGCATAGCCTAGCATAGCACAGCATAATACAGTACAGTACAGTACCTTGGCAAACAGGGGTTGCATCCGGTACAACTTGGTAGCCTTCATGACATTTACATGCATAACTTCCTGGGTTGTTGAGACAGGTCCCATGATCACCACAGATATTGTCAAGACATTCATCAATATCTATAGAGAGCAAATGACAACAGACTCTTATAAACCTTTGAACAAATACTGCAACCTACTTAATGTAACATAATTGCATCAAAATGAGACAGACATAGATTTTTAATGGTACCTATGCATGGGTTGGACTTTCCAGGTGCTAACACTGGATCTGTTGCATTGAATCCATCCAAACAAGTACAGAAGTACGCTCCAATGGTGTTATTACAAGTGGAGTAAGAACCACAAATGCCTGCTGTCGTCTGGCACTCATCAATGTCTGACAAGATATAATACAGTCAATATTTTAAAAAAGGTACAGTATAACCAAATTGCATACTTTTAGACCGATAAGGCCTCTTGTACATGCTGCTTGGAAGTCATTGTCTTGTATTAAAGGTTTGTAGCATTGACCTTTATCACTGGACACACTGCATAATCATTTTCTCAATAATGTCCCCACTGTGATATTGCCGCAAATAATTTCATCAGTTTTTGACATAATCTGTGGTTATGTTTCTACTATAATTACTTAGTGACTATTCACACATTGCCAACTGTTTAGATGAGATAAAACGTACTTACCAACGCAACCATATGAATCTGGAGTGGGTATGTGTGTAGGGGGGATTTCATAACCAGGAAGACAGGTACAGCCTCCTTCAGTTGAACACTCAGCAAGTGGTCCACAGGAGTCTGGCTTACAATCATAATGATCTAAACAAATATAAAATTATAATAATAATTATCATATAATATAAAAAATAAATACTGCAAGTTGTGCAATCCAGTTTCATATTTAACAACTCTTTATCATGTGTTAATGTTAGTGAGTTAAGACAACAGAAGCAACTTTGGTATAATATGTGTTCTTTCTGCATGTTCAATAAAATCATTGTTGGTATTCAAAGAAAATGTTAACAACTGATTAGGTGACATGAAATGTATTTAGTTAAAGTCAAACATAGCAGACAGTCAAAACTGAAGGTCTCATGACCCAGAAATACCTATACCTTGTACCATATACACAATCATTACAAACAGCTGTAAAACAAGAGAGCGTCACAGATATTTAAGAAATGAATCTTGTAATATCTGAGCCATAGATGCAATAGAAAATAAGTTACAAAGAGCCATATCAATATATTTTTATGTTGAAAAAAATCTGGGAGGTTCTCAGAAGATCAGATCACAGAGACAGATCCATTGCACCGGGCTTTTACTTTACAAGACATTACTTTACACAAGCTTGTTTTAGTCATATTATATGAAATATTTTGCATATGAAGGCATCATGCTTATTTCATTTACCTAAACCAAACTTTATATGTTGATAGGGGAAAAAAGAAGATTTAAATAATTAGTCACTACTCACAAGTCACGTATCCTGTGTGAAGATGTGGGTAAGTTAAGGGTTGATAAATGTAGAATCCTCCAGGACAGAGGGCCACATTCACTTTTAAACCAGAGCCTTGACACCCACCATAATAACCATATGCAGTTCCTGTAGTTGGGGTCACAGACTCGGTGGTTGGATAAGCAAATGGAATAAAAACAGGACGCGATGTGCCACCACGGTTGGTTGATACACAGCCTGTAATAACTCTGTCTCCACCGATGCCTGTGAAGCGCCACCAACTGTTCACCAGCTTCGCATCATGATTAGGAAAGCCAGGGAAGGTAGTAGATGTAAAGTCTCGGTTGCGCCATGGTTCAGTTATGTTGGTGTATCCATCACAAGAACCTGCAAGAAGTCAAACAGTTACAATAACTTTGACTTTATGGTTGTTTCAGTTTAAGATAGTAGCTTTTAGTTTTTTCTCAAGTTAACATCATTCTTACCAGGAGGAAAATCACTAGTTACAGGAATGATGAGTAAACCTAAAACCAATAGAGACAATGTAAAGTTATTGAAAATAAGAATCAATGCCCTGAAAGCAACTATATGGCCTTTTATATTTTGACAAGCCATATTATGTTCTTCATCCTCTTAAAATGTCAACCAAATGTCAACTAAAAACACATCAAAGTTAAAAAAAAAAACTTTTGAATGTGCCATACAGTACCAGCAGTCTCTTTCAAATTGATATTAAAGAATAAATTAAATCTGATATATATCATATCTTGTATATATACAGATTATAGTATTTTGTCTTCAGAATTCTTTAGAGACAAAAACTTTCTTCTTCTTCTACAGCAAAGATGTATTTTCAATTTGAAAAGTAATATTCTTAATTCATTTCATGGGTGCTAGTCTAATAAACTACCTGCAGTTGATACTTTTGGAATCACTAATTTATATGAAAAGATGAATTCACTCACCCAGGAGAAGGGACAAGAGACAGTAGTTCATTGTGACAGATCCAAAGTAAAATCTTCTGATCTGTTCTGACTATTCAACGTCTACATTCTGAAATTTGCACAGCACCCAAAATATGTTTTTCTTTCAAGTGCACATGCAAAGAAATGCAATGCAAATCCACTTCAAGGAAGGAAATGATGTAACGACTAAGCACCTTGATTAAAGATGTGTGCAGAACTTCAACTGTGGTGAGTTTAATAAACCAAGACTTCAACACTGTCCATATGTTCTGTTACGTCATTTGTGTTGAATGTTGTTGCGCATATAGATATTGATGGGTGTCAGTTTCCCTTTGTGTCCGTTCATCCATTTGATTGTAATTTATGATCTCCAGAGTTACACACCAGTTTTCACACCAGTTTAGAATTTTACTTAGCATTTGCTATATGTTTCTCCACAATATTAAAGTTTACAACGACCTTTTAAGTTGGTCATTTTGTGGATATAAGTGGGATCATAAGGAGGCTCAGCCACCTTAGTCGTATTTTTTTCCCTCTCTGTTTAAGCTTAATGTGTCTATAGAAAAAGAGCAAAATTATTGGTAGACATGCTATACATGTGACTATAGTGCCATGCTGTCCGTTGTACTGAAACGGAGCAATGATCAATAGACAGACAGACAGACAGACAGAACATGTCACTTAGTTTGCAATCCATAGACTGCAGGGAGATAACACGCAAGGGAAGGGACAGTCAACGACAGAAAGCCCCCTCACTTTATCCCGGGGCCTGGCCAGGGTAGCAAAAGAACATAGACTGTAATAACGATCAATGAAAGTATACAGAGGTAAGTTTGCTGGTGATAACTCATAAACATTTGAATAAAAGATGAATGAAAATAAAAAATGGCCCTCTGAACTAAATGAGTCTTCAGCTCTTTCTGTGTTCTATGATCATGATCAATATCTAATTTGTCATTCCCCTGTCTGTAGTTCTTTTAATGTCTGTGACTGTTGACTGGCACCATCCTTTGACAAAGTGGCAAATTCAGTGAGTCTACTCTGTGTTCCAGGTAGAATCATACTGGGAGGCTCATCATTGATAGGGATGGATCTTCAAAAGTCTCTCTGTCCATAAAACCTGAACTGATTTTTCCAAACAGGACTTTAAGATTTTGTTTTGCACAGTATACCACTCAATGATAACATGTTCAGGCCTTGAGCTCCACTCTTCTTCAAAAACTTTGATTATCAATATCTGAATCATTACCAACATGCCCTGCTAATAATTGCAATAGGTCTCTACTGAGAGTATAGGCTACATGCACATTCCCAATCTCAACAGTTGAATGTTACAGTTAAAAGTATCTATTCAAAATGATAATACAATAATAATGGACGTGGCATTTCAACATCCTTCTCTTCACATATAGTCCTGTGCAATTCGCTCAACTATTCTTTGCAACTAGGAATATACAATATGCAATACCCAGCTGTTGTGTTTCATATTGTTACTACTACATAAGTATCAGCATTACCAACCAATATTTTACTGCTTTCATTGACTGTCAGCTATCAACAAATATGGCGCTATGCCACAATATTTCCACAAAACTTAATAAACATGCAGGAAACGTAGCACTACACACACAACTAACAACTTTATCACATACTGCTTACTTACCAAGATGGAGTTTTAGCGGACGGCTTCTTCTTTTATTACATTCTGTGTTGTTTAGTTAGCTTTTAGATACATTAGGTTTGACTAGGACCCAGATCAGATGAGAATGGATGAAATTCGGGGCAGGGGAGTTGGGGTGGCCATGCTCAAGTGGACACTATTCTCAGTCAGAATGATATGAAGCACACAGTTGACACATGGAACTTAATGCACACGTAAAGGGTATGTTACATCATATGTCATTTTAAACGTTATTTTTTTGTTATTTTTATCAGATAGTCCTCCTGCAGTGACAACTACACACTCTATCATCTGTTTTAAAACGGGTGGAATGACATCAACATTATAGTGCAATAGACAAGTGAAAACAGATCAATAATACAAAAAACAACAAATTCTAAAAATTAATAAAAGCAGGAATTAGCCTACGTAAGTGATTTGATATGAATATTTTCACAGATTTAGAGAATTAAAACTATAGATCTGTATCTATATACCACGTAAATGAATTGATCATTGAATTAAAGGTTATGACATACACCTGATCAAACAGGCAAGACTTTACCAAACTATCATGCTGATCCCCCTCTGCCATGTAATAACCCACATTCATCACAGCAATACCACATACTCACCTACAGAGAAGGTGCACACAAAGCTTTTATGCAATAACGTGAACACCTTGAGCACACAATATATACAAACAAGTTCACAAGAATATTGTGTATGTCATGCAAGAGCCATCTTAACAGCCAAATTGGTACTGATTCATAGTAGCCTTAGAAAAATGTTGTTTATTAGTGCACTCTCCCGCACTCTTGTCTTGAAATTTGCTCACAAGATAGAGTTAAAAACACGCAAGATTTCTCAACACGGGCAAAATGTAACCATCTCCCCTGTCACAAACATGCAGCTGTTCACTGCAGAGATTAGTGGTTGATTTGATGTTGCACTTGCTGTTGTAATAGAAAGTCAGAAAAGCTAAGTACTTATGTGCAGTTGAAGTTTCTGGATAATAAAATAAGTAGCATATATAACTAAACAGAAAACAAACTGTAGTGAACGAGGAAATGCAATAATGACTTCATGTTTATTTCAGATATTTTTTATACAATACCAGAAAATTACACAATGAATAATAGTGGAAATAGCTTAAGTAGAAACTCATATACTTATATACATATTTGTCATCCCCCAACCATGATAACAATGACAACAATAAAATAAGATGCAATGACTAAAGGCTGTATTTCTCCTCTCTGTCTTCTGTTCTGTCATCATTTCATTAGCATTAGCCTGTCCGTTCTTCAGGCTTGTCCATGTCCTCGGAGATTGATGGCACATCTTTCTGTTGAAATACATTTTAATTTTCTTTTAATACATCATTAAAATAGGGGATGAAATGCATGCAGCATTACATGAATCCAGCAAGGCATTTGAAAGAAAACTTTCTACAGATCAGTGAAACAAAAGCCTTTTGTATGTCGCAGTGTTGCAGTCTTGATAGCCATAGGAAGACTAAAAACACAAAAGAAAATAATTCTACACATTTTACAATCATTGGAGTGGTTCCTAGTGATAAAACTCACCACAGATCCTCCTTCTCTGTGCTCTTTGAAAGAACAGGTCAGCCATTTCACGTATTCCTCTCGAACCTAGAAGATACAGTGAATAATACCTTGTTAACAGTTATTTGTTTATGCTACCAAAAAAGAAGACTACAGTTGTTATTGCTGTCATTGTTTGTAGTAGTGCTCTGTAACTTAAAAACATATCGGGGGGCAGATTAACAAGAGATCAGTCATCTGCACAAAGAGTTTACCTCCTTATTGAGCACACAGTGGACGATGAAGAGGAAGGTGCCCTGCTGGGAGTTCAGAATTATAAACAGGACCTGAAAGAACAGATTCGTCTGGTACAGTCCCAGAATCCAGGTACAGCCCAGTATGACAAACTGGGCCACGATCTTGAACACAATCAACCTGCAAAAAATGAGAATTTATTAAGTTTTAACTTGATAATGAATAACATACAGTATTATTTTATGACCCATTTATTATGCTTACATCTGGAGTATATAAGTGTATATAAATTTAAGTTAAAATATCAAATTGTGTATTTGGATTAGGGAACCAAATACATTCCATTTCAAACATTTCATTTTTATGCGAAGACAATCTTGAACAATCCTGGTTCATACCTGGTGTCTTTGGATTGAGAAACGTCACTTTTCATGTTGGCCAAGGTTGGTCTCAGACTCCATAGAGTTGCACAGAACAAAATCCAGTTAAGCTTAAAGAAACAAAAGACACAGAGGAGCCCATAGACCATTTTCACAGCTAGAAGGCAGAACTTGCATTGTACTGTGATGTTTTTCCCATTTTCTACTCTAAACACAAATAAGTGAAAGCATTTTTTTCACACTAAAGGCCATGATAATGAATTGGAAACTGTAAGATAAATTAGTGTTTCCTTAGAGATTGATGTGGAGTGGTGTTGAGAGACTCATGAAGACTTGTATATGGTAGTATATTGTTATTTATGTTACAGTGTATTTTAAAATTGTAATCCTGTCACTCTGTTACATATAATCTGTTACTTCCCAAGCCTAGACCAAGATCCACTGAAAGGGAGGAAATCTTGCAACAATTTCTTTAGGCTATCGAGCAAGTGTCTTGTTAGCTTGCTTGATAGCGAAACTGTATAAATAAGCCAATGAAGACTTTTTCAAACAGTTTACATTACTCTGTGCTCAGCAGCAATTATTTTATGTTTGTAACTGTGGAGGCAAATGACACTCAAAAGAGGAATTTACACTAATAATCTTCCCCACTGCACACATTTATCAACGGTTTGAAAAGACTACACCTCTTGACCTAACAATAAATATATTTTTCATTCATCAGTTTTTTTTTTTTTTGCAAATCATTATGCAGTGCCATGGCATATTTCACCTTCATTTGCATTAAGTTAAAACTTATAGCGGAGTGAGTCCCAATCCTGACTGAACATGCATTTTTGTTGTTTAGTTGAATATTGAATATTTTGAATAAAGTTTGTTTGTGTGTCTTGATTGCAGCAAAAAATCTAACAGCCAGCACCAGCACAGCACTGTGGCCTCATATCGTCTTCTCAATTATCATCTCAACCCATCTGACAGAGTCCTTGCTGTTAGCTCTACTTGCCAAACAGGTGAAAATGTTAGCAAGCAGCAGCAGCTAGCTCCAATCAGGTAACTGAAAGCAACCGTGACAATGATGATGATGATGGAGGTGGTGGAATATGTCAAATTTGTCGTGTTCAAACGTGTTGGACTATTTGGACATTTCATACAGGCTACAGTGGATTTATGTAATTTTTGCTGGATTGGATTTAAACTGACAGCTGCTGAATGAAAGCATCATT